CGATTTAATACTGTGTCTGCCGTTTGGTGAGGTCCAGGAGTATCACTGCCGTTGAAGTTGGAAAAATGGTGTTTGCAACGAAGTAGTCCTTGCCCTGGCAGAATTTGGTTCTGCCATTGCTGACATTGTGTCTTTTCACTAAGCCTGTATTTTTTAACTCTTGATCCTTATTTTTTTATTTCCAACTTTTGCACTCCAATCACCAGTAATTATCATTACATCTTGATTGCTTCTTTGATCAATTTCATACTGATAAGTTGATAAAAATCTTGTTTCTTCCTCTTTGTGCCGGGGATTGGCATGTAAATTTGAATAACAGTCGTATAGACTGGTCTTCATTGAATGCATGTGGATATTATCTTATCATTGACAATATTGTAACTTCAGGATAAATTTTGAAATGTTCTTCTTTAATGATAGATACGGTACCACTCTTCAGTTTGTCATTCACGGCATAGTAGATCATGTGATTTGCTGATTCCAAACGGCGGTACCAGTCCGTTTCAGCTCACTAATGCCTGTGACATCCAAGCATCAATTTGCATTGTTGACACTTCCACTTTTCCTTGATTCAGATTTGGTACAGTCCACGTCTCATTAGTAATGTATGTTTGCAGCTGTTTCTTCTCATTTTGAGATGTTTCTGCTGCTGTATTTTCTCCAGGCTATATGTTATTTTGATGTGCTTTCGCTTTTCTTAAATACGTTGTGAATTGGGTGAAGGCTTACAGAGCAGGTCATCAGTTTCATATTCAACAATTCATACATAGCTATTTTTTCACCTCATTCGCTGCAACCCCTCAATGTAACATCACTTATCATACTTCTTGTGTTTACAGACACCCTTCTTTGCTAATCCTTCGGAACATTGTCCTTGGGCAAATGCTGACCATTTGACCTCAAATGGTTAATTATGCTAAGGTGTGCATACTCTCTCGTTTTATTTCCCCCTCACAGACCTGTCTGTTGTTTGGCTGAACTCTGAGCCATGTGGAGGAGTTAATTTCCAGATGAGCACGGGAATGGATGGCCATAGTTTAAGGCGTTCCACACTTTCTATCTGA